ACACGGTGATAGCTTGGATATCCGATGAGGGATAAGCCAAATAATATTCATTTGAGTAGTTTCTTCCTGAAAGAGGGAGAATACCATAAGGAAGCTAGGGAGCAGATTGCAAAGGCATGGCGTCACATTCATAGAAAGAGTAGGAAGGACTCGGGACCTAGGGGGGCTGTTCTTTGAAGCTTTGCCTTTGGGTCCATGATGTTCACCCCTACTGTTTTGAATTTCTTCAGCTTCAAACTCTTCACGTAACATTTTATAGAAATCTTCTGATATGCCTATATGGCGACCACTTGTCCATCTGAGAGGGGTAGTTCATACACAAATAAATGGTAGATATGATGGCCCCCATTTAGTTGAATGTTGGTCGCCCTATGATTATATTATATGATGGAGGCACATCAATGACTATATATCTTACAGTGACATGCTTAGTGTTTTACTTTATCCCAAAAATAGTCTTCAATGTTATGTACCCCTTTATCTATAATCGCTTTCCTAAGAATCTTACCAAATATACTTGAAAAGGCTTGAGGTCATCTAAGTCTAGGATAAGCCTTTCAAACGAATCCCAATAGTTGATATTCACGAAGCTCCCCTAATCAATCAAAACTATCTTGATTTCCCATTCATCACATTAAACAAAAATCACCATGGGGTCGCCATTGTGAGGGTAAGTGGTGATTTCTTCTTCCTTGGAAAAGGTTATCTTGCCCCCTGAACTAGTGAGGTTGCATGTCTGGTGACCAACTAGAAGACTATCGATGACCAGGACTTAGCAGTCATATTTTTTACAGACAAAATTGGTTTCTACGCTATGGTGAATCATTCGGTAATGATGTTAAGCATATTGAGGATGACCATGTCACCCTCCTTCCTATTTGGCTCCCTTCATTGGGTGGTTTGGGGAATCTTGTTGTCTTTATGCCCTTGGGAACTAAATCCTTATGTTTATATACTATGGCTATGTTTGGTGTGTTTCTTCAAATCTCATTCTTAGATAAGGCCACTATTACAAAAAACACATTTCACCTCAGATGCAAAATTCAGTTAATCTGAGTTACAGAAACGAGATAACGAAGGGCGTCATGAAAAGTTGCCCCTTTATCCCTTAGTGTTTTAAAAACCGTGGGATAAAGTTATCTACACACGAGTTTGAACCTCAACTTCTGCACTTTTATTATTTTCAAAACTATCGAATCTTAACTCTCAGTTTATCAATAAAACCGAGGGGTAAGATAGATTATTTAAAAAAAACTTGTTACATTGTTTACACAGAGTATTAATAAACTAATTTGTTTATAAACTATATTATTCACTCAGAATATTACATTATTTATACAAAATAATAAAGTGAAAATTAATTTGTAAATGAATATCATATGTTGGATCTTCGAATCATTGAATTTTGGGGAATGATGGGTGAGAATATATTCTCAATGGCTTTTTCTTTCATTTGTTTATGATATAGAAAAAAAGGTTAGATAAATAAATGATTTTTTGCTCAAATAAATATTTAAGAACAGAAACCTTAAATCCAAATAATTTTCTGCTCTTGCAATCCATCATAGAGAACTTTTCATGGCAAATGCTTTAATAAGAAAGAGAACAAGATATATAGTGGTGGATAGTTTCAAGCGCTTCATGATGTTTTATTATCAATTTCTGATATTCAAAATGTTTTTATAATGAAAGTTTTTTATGTTTCACACGAATCACTAATGGAAGTGTCTTGAGCAGTGATACTCGTTAAATGGACGATAAAAAATTGTTTAAGGATGGTGAATATCCTCAATAAACACGCTTAATTATTCCCTCAGTTATGGCAAAAACCCAGGTAAAAAGTATTTACCCCTCAGTTTCAGTTGAAAACCGAGATGAATAAGTTTTTTTAAAATATTACATTGCTTACACAAAATATTAAAATACATTGATTATAACAAATCCATATTCATCAACGTCGTTTTTATTCTTGGAGAACAACAAATCTATGTTATAAATCCAGATTTTGTTGCATAACTTGTATGCATCCAACTTTTAATAAGTTATTCAAAGGTTGATATCCCTTCTTTGTTTAACTTGAAGCAATAATTATTTTCTGCACTTGCAATCCATTATAGAGAATTTTTCCCACCTTCTTTAAGTTCCAGGATTTCATTATCTTGAACAAATATTTTCATGGCAAATACTTTCACAAGAAAGAGAACAAAATATATAGTTGTGGATGTAGATAGTTTGTTATGGATTGATGTCTTGATAATATCTTGAGTGTTATTCTTTTATGAATGTAGGGTAGAGATTCGTTATTGTGGCTGTGTAACATAACCCATCAGTTTTGTTAAAAAAACAAGGGGGAATATATTTTCTTTTTTAAATAGAAAAATAAAATAAAATAAGTAAATCCATCTGTTTTATAAAAAAACGAGGTAATAAGTTTCAAGCAAAAACTGGTGAATGATAAAGAATTGAAAGTAACATGTCATGTTTCCATTTCAATTTTTTTACTAGTTACCATTTTTTGTGTGCAACTTATACCATGTTTAAGAATAGATTTCTCAATATTGTCAACCGAGGACAACAATGATGTTTTCTTTGATTGACAATATAGGAAGGTTATTCCAAAAATACAACAACAACATCAACACCATTATGTGAGATAAATTGCAAGGTCAGAAAAAATATTTTGTTCAAGATAAAAGAACATTGAAGATTTTTTTCTGTCTTACAATCCATCCCAAAGAATGAGGCGTACAATTTTGAGGCGGCTACATAAAAGTAAGACCTAGGGTATAATTTATTTAATGAGTGCTTTTATAGTAAAATCTGATTATTTTATCTCTCTGTTATTACGGAAGTCGAAAGGATATATCATTTAGATTACAAATAAAAAAAATGTCCCACTTATAAAAATAAAATAAAAAGCATTACCTGGGATTCAAAGCATGTCCTAAATTGTTTTTTCACTCAGTTATATTAAAAATAGAGGGAACATGTGGTTTTTTTAAAACAAATAAAGCATGACACACCTTGACATTATATCTCAGTTTTTTATTGGGTGAGGTGAAAGTTTTGTCATGAAATGTACTATTTTTATTAGTGGTCATTCAATATCATTCTTGAATTGCAAGAAATCCTCAGTGTGATGTCCATTAACTTTGTGGAACTTATACCAACTATTAGGTTGCAGTCCCGTGATGTACGCCTTCGGTGTTGGTGGTTAGGAAATATTGTGCATGTGAAAGACTTTACGCCATATCTTCTATTGGTGAGTGTTTAGAGGCGTGAAGCTCTCCACAAGCTTTCCACTCTGCTTAAAGGCAGTTATATATCTAATAAACTATGCATATTGGTTCTTTTAGATCTGTCAGCATTGAAAGTGCACTCTTTTGTGTCACATGGCTTTATTCCCATCATTGCTTTCTTCGTCCTCGATGTAACAATTCGCCCGCGTCACTACCTCAACCAACTTCACCGGTGGTCCTTAGGCGAGGGGTTAATTGAAGTGTCCCATATCGAGACCATTTTAAAACACTTCTACGAACATTTCTTGATTGGGGTATATCACCTTGATGGTCACCTCATTGAAGCTGGAAAGATATTCCCTTAATGAATCAGATAGGCCCTAGCATATGTTGAACAAGATGATGGAGGTTAACTTTTGGTGCCTACTTGCGGTGAATTAGTGGACTAGTTTCTTCACAGGGTATTGATAGCTAGAAATATAGAGAGTCCGGGGAGGCCTATATACCATCTCAAGGTTGCGTTCCTAAAGGTGTCAAATAAGAGCTTGCCCTTTAAAGAGTCAAGTGCCCTGATGATGGTCATTTGAGTGTTGATGATGGTCACATGGTCATACAAGTCGACGCGTCCATAGAACTTAGCCAACGATGACATCTTAAATTTCTTTGGGACGAGAACCTCACATATTTTGTTTGATTGAGGTTGGGGATCTAGTACCACCAGTTCGTCCACCATATCAGTCACTTGTTATCGTTGATGGATATGGTGAACATTATCTTCCAAAGTTTGGTTCTGATGCTGAAGGTCGTCTGTAACGACACACATCTCTGTTATAATGCTTTCCTCACCGTCAGAGTCTTTGTTGGTCAGAGTAGTTGTCTTCTTGTTCACCATGATGTGGGGTGAGTGCAAAAATAATACGCAGATATAATATAGTGAGGGTGGTCTAAGTCAATTTTACTAAGGCCCTGTAGTGGATGCCAATTGTATTGGATAAAAGTACAATGATTGTGACAACTCCTAATGTATAAAGGTTGTCTTAGGGTTTGTTGAGGATTCAAGCTAACTCATGCGATGAAGTGAGTAACTCTATATGAGTGGTTTTTCTTTGTGTTAGAAATATTAGATCATTCAACATCAATATATTGATGTATTTACAGCTTCTCATGGGCCTTAAATTGAACTAACAAAGTCCCCTTAAAATATAGCGACCTTCACAGAAGTGGATACTTAATATTCAAAAATTCATGAGAGATAGTTAGACCCTACGACTTCTTAAGTATTTATTGTTGATTCAATATACACTCCACCCACAAACGTATGTTGTAGACGAAAGAATAAAAAGTGATCCAGACAAGGGACGATCGAATCAAATAAATGACACTCAAATTAATATAGAGACGATCAATTATTCCACTACAGTGATTAAAAAGTATAAATAATAAAAATTAAAATGTCAAATATTAAATATCTAACTTATCTTTAAAAAATTAATTATAAAAATGTTATAATAAATTATTCAATTTTTATTTTATATACATTTAAATTTTTATTGAAAATATTTTTTATTACTTTGTGGTATATTTTTCACTATATTTTTCTTTTTATTTCATCGTGAGGTATTAAACAAGTCAAAGAAAAGTGTAGAGGCAGTGCTCAACCCGTCAAGACAAAGCCAGCACTGTTTGCAATTGCATTTCTCAGAGAGAGAAACCGTTTCTAGAGAGAGAAACTGTTTTCTAGAGAGAGAAAACTCCGCAGCTATGTCATCTTCCTTCGACGCATTCACCGATGACTTGAACGTCAACTCTTCTTCAACTCACCACTTCGCTACCTCCGATCAAGACGACACCTACTCCGGTTTTGGCGGCTACTCCAACTTCTCCGCCGACGGCGATGTCACCGTCGATCATGCCGCCGAGGCTTCACCGGACATCTTCGGATTCAGTGATCCGAATCCCGGTTACTCTCCGTCTCCATTTGAATCGGTTTCAGTTGAGAACGGGAACGATAACGGAAACGGTTACGGTGAGAGTGACGGTGTTTTTGTCTCTGATGGTCCGATTCTTCCTCCGCCTGGTGAGATGGAGTCAGAGGAAGGTTACGCTCTTCGCGAGTGGCGTCGGTAAGTAGGTTGCGGTTTTTTTTCTTTCTGTTTTGTGAATTTGTTGGATCTCGTTTGAATTTGCTTAGATCTGTGACTGTGATGACTTTGCTTTGACCTAGAAGTTCGATCTTAGCGTATTTTGCGATTAATTGTAAGTAGTTATGATTAGGAATCAGGAATAGATTATCTTAATTGTAGGAACAAACAAATTGATGAACTTAGTTTATTTGAATTGCAATCTATAAAGCACGGACATCTGAAACACTACACCGACACTGCAACGGCGACACCGGTAATAATTTAAAAAACAATGAATAAATTAAAGCAATCACTATGTAGCTGTCCGAGGCAGACACGGACACACCTTTTATCTTAGGCGTCACTGCTACATATTTGCAATTGCAATTTCACTTTTAGTAGTTAGACTTAGTTGAGCTATGGTAAGATATGATATATAATTTTCCTAGAAATTTAGTAAAATTCTATGCTTGGGAGGAATTGATTTATATCCACAAGTTTCAAGGGTATCTTTAGTTAGATGGATGTCAATGGGGCGGGGTGGGGCGGGGGATACATTCCCATCTCAATCTCCGCCCTCGAATCTATTCTCCGTCTGCGTCTCGGGTCCCCGCCACAAGAGGATTTTGTCCCTCATCCCCGCGGACCCCCAAGGTTCATACGGAGATCCATGAACATGATTTTCTTTATTTATTATTTTAAATCAAATTAATAGTAAAAATTTCAAAAACTAACCACAACAAAATTTAGAAATTATCCCTTTATGATAAATATATTGTTTAAACAATATTTAATCTATAATATTGAGTGTCATAACCACCAAAATTTTGAACTTAAAAAGTTTAAAATAATCATTTATATATCACTCTTTTATTAACAATACATTTATATTTTAAATTTATTTATAAGATAAATTATATGAATTGACAAATAAACCTACATAAAAATTTAAAATTATATATAAATTATGTTTATTATGGTATTCTAAGCGGAGCGGGGACTTCACGGAGCGGAGATATTTACGCCACCCCCGTTCGTCCCCGAAGTGCTTTCGGAGAGACTTTGTTTCCCATCCCCGTCCCCGTGGGGTAAAAATTCCACGTCTTTGGGGCCCCAAACGGGAAATTCCTGCGGGATTCCCGCTAATGGGGCAAGTTGACATCCTTAGGTGGATGAAGTTTGAATTGTAATATGAGAGGGGAATAATAGTTAATATTTTACTTATGGAAGTTTGATCTGCAGTGAGGTATTTGTTAGGATTAATTCTATAGTGAAATTAATTATAATTAAGGTTGTAGCTGGGTTTGGATTTCAATCACGGTGCTTACATGTGAGTGTTGTAAACTCTGAGTACCAAGATGAATTTCTACTTTTATAAAAATTTAATCGCGGATTAAACAATTTTTAGTTTTTACTTGTGTATTGCTTGTTTTATTGGATTGCATGTTAACTGAAGGGTAGTCATTGTTTGACGCCTTGCTGTTTGGAGTTGGATAATCACGTTCAAGGTAACACTCATGGGTTTTACATCTCACCCGTGTTGAACTTGGATCAGCAAGCAATTTATAAAAAACTGGCTCACATTTTTGACGAGGATCGCATCAGATCTTCTTGAACACATATCTTAAATTTTGTGGGTGTTTTAGGGAAAGTATAGCATGAAAGATCTGATTTATCTAAGATTTAATCCATTGGGGTTTTAATTGGCAGAATTTTTGTCTATTTTCTGGTCTCTTTTCTCTCTTCCTCTGATGGAATGTAAGGAGGAGGAGCAATAGATGTTGGACAAATTTGGTTGTGCAAATGTACTGTTTGGAAGTCTGGAGGGAAAGGTAGTGGAGAGCTTTGTAAAAAGAGGAGGATTGAGTCGTAAGAGTTGAAGATTTTGGTTGAGAGGATTTTGGAGGGTTTGCTTTTATTCCTAACACCAAAAACCCCCTAATTTGGGAAATTCAAAATTTGTATTGAAGGATCGTTTTGGAGGGTTTTAAAGGGCTTACATAAATTTTTCAAAATATCTTTTATATTGTTATAGTATTATGAAAATAAAAAATATAGTAATGATAAATATTCTTTTATCATTCTATACAAAATCATTTTTTCAAAAAATGTCAAATATTTTTCTATTTTTTTTTTAAATTTGTTTTCGGGAAGTCATCCCCTCCCCTTCAAACTCTTGAACAAAGTCTTAAGAGATAATGGAACTTTCCCTCCCTCCTCAATTTATACAGTGAAAAATACTTTTTGACATATGTTTTTGACACGGTCTATATCATTGGGTGAAATTCTTATGGGTTTCACTGGGTAGGGAGTGGGTTTGACCATAGGGAGTGGAGTGCACATAATTTAGTGGGGCTTGCATGAATTTTATTTAATTATAGTATGTTGGAGACTGTTTATTAGCATGCTCTGATATGAGTATAAAAAATTCTCTTACTCTTATATGGTTTTACGATGATTGTGTCTTCCTTACAATTGCAGATTTTTACCCTAGTTTTTCCAATCCATTTTCTAATATTGCTCGTCTGTTTGATTTGAAAAATTTATGATATTTGACAAGATCACGTGAGTGACTGGTCTAAGCTTAAAATTTTATTTATTTATTTGTATACTGTGCAATCAATCTTTTGTGTAGGATCACATAGCAATACAAAAATTAGGATTCTAAATTTGATATGAAATATTGTGTTGATGTCATGGGGCATGTATTATGAGCAAACATTTATATATTTTGTTGGAGCCTATATAAAGTGTTTAGAGTTGTTTCCGTACTATAGATTTCCAGAAATGGCTGCAAATTGCTACTTGCAATTACAGACAAAAATAACTGATCAATGTGATATAGGCATAGGATAATTAATGTAGGAAAACTTATTGTTATAAAAAACCCGTTATGTGTTTAGTACGGGCGGTTATCTAGTATTTGCAATAGGCTGATTGCACAATTTGAACCAGTGATCTTGTAGTCATATGGAAGCAACTTCAACCTCTGCTCTAAAGCTTCTCTTTGCACTAGGATAGTTAATAATATGAATAAAGTTGAACCAAAAAAATAAAATAATGCTGTTAATCTAAAAACCCGTTTGTAAAGTTATTAAAGGCTCATGTATTCTTAAACTTAAACATAATGGAAAAACAATCGTTTTCTTAATATCTGATCTTAGTCCAATAAAGATTTAGGATGTATATGTTTTGCTGAACTCGGTTGTCATGAAACAATGAATGTCTTTGGCTTTCCTTGAACAGTCAAAATGCCATTGAGCTAGAGGAGAAGGAGAAAAAAGAAAAAGAAACGAGATTGAAGATTCTGGAGGAAGCTGAGGAGTATAAGGTGGCTTTCTATGAGAAAAGGAAGCTTAATGTTGAGACTAACAAGGTTCAAAATAGAGAAAGGGAGAAGGTAAAATTTACTAGCATCGTGAGTTATAATTTTTTGGTTGATGTTATTTTCTCATGCTCTTGTAATTTGAAAATAAAACGAAAAATTTTCTATGGAGCAGTTATTTGTGGCTAATCAAGAGAAGTTTCACAAAGAGGCAGACAAAGCTTATTGGAAGACAATTGCAGAGCTCATTCCTCGTGAGGTTCCTAGCATTGAGAAGAAGAGAGGCAAAAAAGATCAGGATAAGAAGCCATCAATCACTGTTATTCAAGGCCCTAAGCCTGGCAAACCCACAGATCTTTCCAGGATGCGGCAAATACTGTTAAAACTGAAGCATACACCACCACCTCACATGATTCCTCCACCACCACTACCTGCTCCTGCTAAAGATGCCAAAGTCGGTAAGGATGGAAAAGAAACATCTGCGAAAGCAACTCCTACAGCTGAAGGTGCATCAGGATCCCAACCAAAGGATGTCACTTCCAATGGCCCTGCAGAGGAACCCAAGGAAGAAGCCTCTGCAACGGAGGAGCAACCTACTGCATAATTTTGCCTTGTTTCCTTCTCTCAATCTTTGTCTGATATCCCTTTTTGCACCTGCTGTGTTTAATGAATCTTTTGGTCCTGTCATTAGTTCGTAATACTTATTGATTGCATTTTAGTACCTATATTAAGGTTTTTAATGGATTAAATATACTATGAACAAATATGACATGTAGATTCAATGGTCATGGTTATAAATAGATGCGTATTGACTTTATAATGACGAGGTTGCTGATTTTTGGGGACCTGATATAAATTTCCGTACCAAGTGTCTATTCGTTTTTGTTGGTGAATGCTTGATCTCAGTCATTGTCTGTAATACATGTAATGCACACTATAGGCACATTTTTCTAGATGTTGCTACCATGTACAATTTTCAATATGTTTTTTTAACAAGCTTTTCTCCCAAGTTTAAAAAATACGACACACCTTTCTATTTTTCTCTCTTTCTGGTGTGTTTGGATTGACGGGAAAAAAAATGATTTTAACAGAATTGAGTTTAAAAAAATTGATTTTATGTTTGAATACATTTATATAAAAGTGAGTTGAATAATAAATTTCAATGTAAAAATCATCTAAAATTAATTTTAAAGGTCGAAGTTACAAATTTTAGCTTTAAGTAAAATCAATTCTAAAGATAGAATCAATTTTGGAGGTAGAATCAATTCTATTTTTGATAAATCAAATATTTCAAAATCATTTAGAATTAATTATACACTTTTAAAATTAATTATGGGTCTTCTAAAAACTAATTCAAACCTAACTGATATCTTATGAGTTCTGCTGCCATGATATCATCTTTTAACGGTAGTTACTTGATCATTAGCACCTTGTTCTCTTCCTAGTTTCAATTCTACCACCTCCCTTTTCCCAGTATGTCGGGGGTTGCTTTTAGAAAATAGAAATTAGGCTGAACCTAATTCGTATTAAGATTTTACTTTAAGTTTGAGTATGATCTTAAAAGCTTTACTATTTGGCATACTTCTGAATATGTGACAAACTTAATAGATTTACTTAAATAATTTTTTCCAAGAGTTTTGAATATGTTCGTATGGATGATGGATACGTTGACAAATTAAGATTTGAAACGACTATACTAGAGAAAAAGTGGACCAATTTCTATTGTATAAATAAAAGTCAAATAATTAAAAATAGAAAAAGACATAAAAAAATTATAAAAAAGACGACTAAAAAAGATCTCAAAACAAATAAATTAGATAGAAACAATTTTGAACAGAACATTATAATATAATTATAATATAATTTGATCTGTATAATTGATGCGATTAATAAAATAAGATTTGATTATTGTTGTTTTAAACACAAGATAAAACATCTAAATTAAAAAAATGAGTGAGGCTCAAAGCAACTCAATTAATCTAATCTTTCATTGATTCTACTAAACAACGTACAAAAGAATATAGAAGTTAGTTATGGTTAGTTACTTAAAAATTATTATAAATTAATTAGTTTGTTAACACCATTTTACTACACCGTATGCAATTTACACCATATATATACATTTGTTTTGTGCTGCACATGTATCAAAGTGAAATAAAAAATTATTAAAATTAACAGATGAAAGAGTATATAATATATCCATTGTATGAATTACGATGTAGTAAGTGTATAATTTCAGTGTTAAATTGAAGCATTTCTCTTATTTTTAAAGACAAACTAAATCTTTAAAAATACGAATTGGAGTGCCATTACAACTTTCATCTACGTTGTTAATGATAGTGCAAGAGTACTTTGAAGCGATTTTCTGCGTGCTCAGTTTGAGTATTGCTGAAGCAAGTGGTATTTTTTACATTCTTTAATCTTCTCTTTCAATCAAAAAAGTAATAACATGTGAATCTTACTAAGAAAGTAGGTATCTTGAAATTATATTAAACCTGAGAAATTTGAAAGTTGAGTGAACTTTTGGAGCAATATACAACAAAATTCTCTTTGCATCATCTAGTTTAAAAGACTCAAACCCAAGATCTTAGTCTAATCTATTAATTTCTATAGAAAAAAATTTAATTATCTTTCCTTCTCATTTTGCAACTATGCAATTCACAAAATTATATATGCATCACCATCACCTTGGAGTGACCTGAGTAATACTAGCCTGAGTAGAACTTGTGTGATAAACTACAGATTCAGGATTTGATTTCTTTTGAGAGGATTCTCCAACATCATAATTGAACAATCCTGGTGCTGTTAGTTGCTTCTCATTGAGCTGAATTTCCTTAGTGAGCATATCAACAACCTGTGTCATCAATGGCCTTCTTTTCGCGGCTGCTTGTGTGCAGAAAAGAGCAACCTTAATGTACTTGATTACATCTTTCTCCGGATATTCTTCCATCTCTTGATCTACTAACTCCAACCATTTCTTGTCTTCATGTAGTTGCCATGCCTGTTAGAACACAAAATCATCATTCATCAAAATAATATTAAGTTGTAGACCTTAAAAAACATTAAATGTATAATGTTGTAAAACTTATAAATATAGGAAGTTGAGATTCAAGTACCCATTCTAAGAGGAATTCATGTGATCCATCCCAATTTGTCTTTGAGCTGCTTTTGCCACTAATTATTTCAAGTATAAGAACTCCAAAGCTGTATACATCAGCCTTCTTGGTTAACTGTCCACCTAATGCATATTCCGGTGCTAAGTAACCACTTTTTAAATCAAGAAAGAAAAAAAAAAGTGTAAATTATCAATCATTTTGATACTCCAGTTATAAACATCAAAACTAAATATGCATACGTTGTTCCGGCGATTCTCGTGCTGATATGAGTAATATCATCTGGAAATAATTTGGCCATTCCAAAATCACCAATTTTGGGACTAAAATCTTTGTCAAGCAGCACATTACTAGCTTTAATGTCTCTATGTACAATATGTTGTGCAAGTTCTTCATGAAGATATGCGAGACCCTTCGCGGTACCGACGCAAATAGAAGATCTTTCTCTCCACTCTAGTTTGATGCTTGAACTCTTTTTGCCTAAGAGAAATGGAAAAAGAAAAGAAATGTTTCATTTTTCATATTTCAGATGTTGATGAGTTTGATATGTTACAAGATATTGATATGATATGAAACTCACCGAGTAATGCGGTATGAAGGTTGCCATTTTCGACATACTCGTAAACTACGGTACGATTCGGCCCTTGAATGCAGAATCCAACCAATTCAACAAGGTTTGAATGTTTAACTTTTGATAAGGTTGTAATTTCTGTCAAAAATTCACGAACTCCCTGCTTTGATCCAACAGAAAGAGGCTTCACCGCTATCTTTCTTCCATTTTTTAGTGTCCCCTACCAAAATTATCACATTCATATTTACTTATAAATTTAGAACATTTTAACAATAACCATAAAATATATATATAATAAGCGTTCTCATTTTATTGGAACGAACGTAGCGAGTTGTAAATATAATTTCCTTTCACCGATAATAAATCAGAATTACAGATCGATATATACACAAATGACGTAGAGACTGATTCTCTTTCGGTGTACGCACTTAGAGCGCTATAAGACGGTCTTTTCCATCCTTATGATAGAATAACCCACGTGGAAGGACCGTTCACATGGAACCTTTCCCCTCTTCGGCATTCAAAGTTTTCATTTGAATATTTACTATTACTACGAAGATCTGTACCAAAGACCACTCCGTTCAGACTTGCTTGCGCTCCAAGTTTTGCAGCGACCGCCGCGCCCTCTTACTCATCAGGGCCTAGTGCATGGCCTTTGCCCCAACGGCCGGCCTTTGACCCAACGGCTAGATATAGGCTGCATGCTTTAACGCCATCTTTTCGAGACTAATTGATTTGGTAGATGAGTTATTACACACTCATTAGCAGATTTTGACTTTCACGACCACAGAGTCGCTGTCATAATTTACAAACACTTTTTATAGAGTCTAGGTTTGGGTGCAATTAGCCACCGTAACCCAACTTCAAATTCATCAAAAATAAAAACTGAAAATTGAAGGATGAGTTAATCTAAAATACCTTGTAAACAGTTCCAAAACCTCCTCTTCCAATCTTATTGCTTAAATGATAATTATCGGTTGCTAATCTCAATTCTTTATCAGAAAAATGCTTAAGATTATCCAAAGAATAGCCTGCAAAACAAAAACAAAAAAAAACTATAATAACTTCCCTAGAAAATCATAGAAACTAATAATCAACAAAAAAAGTATATTACCTTCAATTTCACTGGAAATATAATTAGAAGGTTGTTTTTCCTTCTTTATAGACAATGTTCTAAAACAGCTACTACACCTCATAATTGTTTTTCTATATCACTGATAATAATCTGTAATCTACAATACGGAGTACATAATCACGTTCTATGTCAATTTATGACAAAGAAAACATAACAAACCTTTTAAGAATAAGACAAAGAAAGGTGTGAAAACATTGAAATGGAAACGAGAAAACAAAAAGTAGTGAGTATATAACTGAACTAATTTGACTTTTGAAAAAAATTGATTATTAAAAAGCCGGCTTGTGAATGTGATGATTACATTAATAGAAAGGTGGCCGAATTGAAATGGTCATAAATCTCATGCTATGTGGTTTTCCAGATGCCAACAACGTTTCTAGATAGTGACACTTCCTTCTTATGTCAAACATATTTATTTTCTTTCTGTTTGTGAAAATACTAAAATATTCTTTTCTTCATTGGATCAACATGTGGACTATAGCTTCTGGATTATATGATTTTTGTTCATTGAATCAAGAATTGTAGCTTTTGGATTAAATTGATCATTTCAAGGTGATTTTCAGTCAAAATGATGAATTTATTAAAAAGATTAGAAAAATAATATTGAAATGTTGTTGATTTCAAAAATTACGTGCTTCTATGGAATTTTTTCTATGAAAACAATAAAACAAAATTATTATTCACTTTAATATTTCTTCCAATCTCTCTTATTGTTGCAATATTATCATGGTATCACAGTTATGTTACCACACCCAATTAAAAGGTGTTGACTATTTTAATACTTTCTCCTCTATTGTCAAAATCACTATAGTTAAATTTCTTTTATCTCTTGCAGCTGTTAAGTATTAGCATGTTGAACAACTTGATGTCAGCAATGCTTTTCTTCATGGACATCTCCATGAAAAAGTGTATATGTCTCTTCCTTTGGGTATGGTTCCCATAATTCTAACAAAGTTTGTAAGCTCACAAAATCTGGATTGAAATAGGCTAGCAGGTGGCACGCTAAACTCTCTTCTTCTTTACTTTCCTTGGAGCTATGCTCAATATGAGGATGATCACTCCTTGTATACCAAAACTTCTTCTTTACTTTCCATTGTTGAAATTAATAATGTCAAGGCATTCTTGCGCACCAAATTTCGCATTAAGGGCTTTGGCCAACAGATATTTTTTAGGATTGGAGATTGCTAGATCTGACAAGGGTATCTTTCTCGATTAAAGAAAGTATGTTTTGGAGCTGCTTGAGGACGCAGGTTTTCTTGGGGCTAAACGCCATTAGATGATACTTCTGTTGAAATTATAAATTTGATTTGGGCTTAATTATTATTTTTATTTTTGGGCTTAGTTATGTTGGGTTTACGTAATTTTGGGTATTGTTTCTAGAGAATTCTTGTAATGTTTAGAGAGTCTAAATATTTTTATGATTGTAATATTTTCTAGAATACTCTTTGGATCTTTAGAGTTGAGAACTCTCTAGAATTAGCGTGTATGGAGTTCTCTTTAGAGTACTATAAATAGATATGTAATCACATACTTTTGTATCAAGTAAAAATACAAAATTCTCTCCTCCATAAAGAATTCTCCTACTTATCAAGTTTCTATTCAAGCCTCTAATATTCCCACACACTTTTCCTAAACATAAAAGGTCTTATTTCCAATAAAGTGGTACCAGAGTTTCAAGATCCTAAAAAAATAGCGAGTGTTGGTTTCCCTTTCCAAATGCAGATGCTCACAAAGAACAACTATGATAATTGGAGTATCAAGATGAATGTGCTACTAGGAGGTCAAGATGTGTGGGATATCGTTGAGAAAGACTTCAAGGAGCAAGATGAATCCTCGCTAAGCCAAGGTGCAAGGGAGGCGTTGAATGTGACACCTCATTTCTATCCAACGAATTATATGTAACCAGAGTTTCAAAATTTCCAACGAATAAATGAGATGCTACACATTCGGCTTATAACAACAACGTTTAATCGCTTTTAAAACAGATACAAAACACTTAAACTCGCATGAATCTTAACCACATAAATTAGTCTTTTAAAACCAATAACTTTCATAACAACGCATCAGAATCATAATGTTCAACTTAAAAAGGACATAATATCTTTGTCCAACTGAAAACAACTTTAGAAATAACAAAGTACTTAGTAAATCAATTTAAAATTCAGCAGCGGAAGAAATAATAACAATAAAGCAACAAGCGTTCATCCACCCCGAGTGTTACGTATCAAAGCGATGACACCGATTCAAACTGATGAAAGTAGACAACCTTCACTCTGGATTATCTACATGTTACCAACATAGGGGTAACATTCAAACAGAAGGGGTGAGATATCAAACAATATAATCGAATGTATGATAAATAATATGTTAGAACTAGATCATACAAAATTGCTGCTTCATAGCTTTTAAACGACATCCATTACAACCAAGTCATCAACATAATATCACAACTAATTTATCATTACAACAACTCAAGATGCAACGTGGAATGCGACTCGTTACGATGAAAATGTATGTGGTACTGTTATACCCTAAAATTTGCGCTCTCATTTTATTCAAGTCATACTCATTAAGGTCCCCAATTGCTCAAGGTTGACCAAGAATAGATTAGATAAATTCTCCTCCTAAGCAATGGTCTTTCAATTAATTTCACTTTTCACCAAGACGTGTGAGTTCCAGAGCTTAAAATGATTTCCATGACACCCTATATGCCTCAGCATAATGGCACAACTGAATGAAAGAAAGGAAGTGTGCATGACAAAGTGTAGGGCGAAGGTTGAAAATATGCCTAAGGGCTTTTGGGTCGAAGCAACTTCGACATCAGTATGATGGCCAACGAAGCGCTAGGATCGAAGGATGAATGGCGCGAAAGAAAGTTGAGAAGGCTTTTATGAAGTCTTCGATTGGAAGAGTTAGTAAGGAGCTTCGAAGGGTCTGTTTTCACTGAAATGTAAGACATTCGAAGCATTACAAGGAAGACACCTTTCGATTAACATGTTGTCTAAATGGGCGCTTCGAAAAGAAGGATATTTGGAATATAAAATGTTTTCATCATTATCCAAAGAAAACACGTGGAAGGCTCATGATTGGAAGTACATGTAATCTTAAAACATGGCGTAATCGAAGGGAAGTTGGGGATGAATCAGCAAAATATAAGTCACCTCAGAGCTTTTGGCATGTACCTGAACAAGTGTTGGATGTTTGAAGAGAAGTTATGATGCTCTTAGGTTACCCTTCAATTGGTGCATACAAGCTGTATATCCAAAGAAACACGTGGAAGTCTAATGGTTTGAAGGGCATGCCATCTTCAAGCATGGCGTGATCGAAGGACAATTTGAGATGAATCAGCCAAATATAAGTCACCTCAGAGCTTCTGGCATGTACCTGAACAGGTGTTTGATGTTTGAAGAGAAGTTCTGATACTCTTAGTTTATCCTTCGATTGGTGCATACAAGCTATATTCACCAATCGAAGATGGACTAATACGCATTAAAGGTGTTTCTTGTAGACAAGCAAAGGGAGGGAGTTAGAATCGAAGGACCACGTACACTACTATGTTCGAAGGAAAAGACAAAATGAAGCTTCGACAGGCCAAGAGGAAGAGATGGTTGAATTGAAGGGAACAAGAACTGTTCGATTGGGCTGATTGGATAGTTTTCAGATCAAGCAACTAAGGCCGATAATGGCCCAATCGAAGAAGCCACGATGATAAGGCCTTGAGCCATTCGAATTGGAACTCAGGGCCAATCGAAGAATAAAGTTTGAGAGAATTCGAAAGAGTCAAGATGTAAAACCTGTCCAGGTTCACTCAAAATCCAAAATGGTAGAAAATCATCAAAAATGATAATTTTTTAAATACTTACGATTCTGCCTTCAAAGCCATGGTTAATGGCTGATTCTTGCCATTTTCGTTCACCACTGCGTCCCTATAAATACAGAGCTAAAGCGCAAGCAAAAAGGACACGCATTAGCCAGACGAAACATTGCCTCCAAACACACATTGCCTATACACAAGAAGCTGTCCCAGAAAACCACTCCAAATTCTCCAAACCTTCACAAATTTGTCAGAATCAAAGCAATCTTTGCAGGCCTCCTCAATCCAAAGCAATCATTCCACTGATTCCATCCATTGGTAACAGGACTTCGATCTCAAACTCCTTCAATATGTAATTTAAATCCATATTGATTGTATATCCATGCTATGAATGATGTTTGTGATTGTTAATGTTGTTACATGTGAAAATCAATACCAGGGTAACAAGACATCATTATTAGGGATTTGAAACTAAGTCCTTTGAATCTCAAAATTCAGGCGCCTCTTTCCTTCTGGCTTGTGCAACGCGCATGTGTTGATTTTGATTTATATATATATATATATATATATATATATATATATATATATATATATATATATATATATATATATATATGATTTGTTTTACTAATATAATGTCATGATTTTATTTGTATCAACGAATGAATAAATAACTCAGATGGTAAAGGGGAATGTGTGCAGTCGAAAGGGCTTGAGTTTGATACCCAGGTCATGTATTATGTTTTTTTAACAATTATCTTGCAGATCCAGTGTGCTGCGTTTCAAACATTTCCCATGCGCCTTCAAGCTCCAGCCAATGGATGACAAGGAGATCAGATCCAATGCCCCATGAGTACCATCCCATGATGGACCCTCAATGGCCAATAGCATAGGATCCCAACGTGGCATGGGCTTAGTTTCATTTGGGCTAAACAAAAATCCAATTCACACCCCCTGTTACCTTTACTATCCTGGCCCATTTTATTTTCGCTTTTAATTGTTTTTTTATAGCATTATAAAATTAGATAAAAAATCACAAAAAAATATTAGGTTAGTATTTTCTCAATTAAAATTTTGTAAATTTATTGATTAATTATTTTAACCTTTTTTTTAATTTAAAAATAAATAGACTTAGGATTTTTAAATTAAATTTCTTTCCATAGTTCAAAAACAAACAAAAAAGATTTCATTTTTCTTAGGAATTTTAGATGTATTTTCAATTCACACGTTTACTTTTACTATCGCAC